GGCCTGGGAATGTACTCAGTAATCGGTAGGATAATAACGATGACAAAGGGATATTCTTTGAGGTTTCTTAAGAGCATGGCCAAGTTGTGAAAACAAGGCCAGGCTAACTTTTTACAGCGAAGCAAAATGTGACCAGATAAAAGACGTTATATGACCAAATAATATAGTTGGATGCCTTTATACTACTTGGAAGGCCTAGAAACTCTATTAGCTTAAAAGAGAGTGTTTGCATGGAGGAAAATTTAATTAGGAAATTATAGAAGCAACCAGCCAATTTAGCTGGCTACCAAATTCAGGACTGTACAGCATGCGGGAAAATGAAGGAACTTGGAGAGAATGAGACAAACAAAAAGGAACGTGCACACAGCTCATGAATCACACTTTTCTTCCAGTCGTTTATATCGCTCCAAAGTAGTGGCGCGCCGCCTTGCCTGTTCGAGTTCACTGGGGGTGGCGTCAATCGATGTGACATTCGAATTATGACCCGAGAGGCTACCACCAAGGCCTAGTCCTGCGTGCTGGTTTATTCGCCGACCGATGGCCACCTGGAAGATAGGCGGTCAGTAATGGTCAATGTTAATTAAATAAAAATCACGTTTAAATCCTAAATGTGCAAATAATAGTCTAGTGACTACTCAGGATGTATAAAACCTAAGACAAAGCTAAAATCCTTCATCAGTGCACTTTAAGCAAATATTGCAAAAGTTGTGAAGTGTTTGTAGTCTGGCACGATCCGCTAAATAAAATGGAGGAATAATAAATAATTTCGTATGGGTTTAAAGGAGAAGAGTATACAAATTAGTACAAAGTATGATCTTGCGTATTTAATAAGAAATAAAGCCTCATATCAAGAACACCCTTGAATACACTTAGACCTAGCACCAAGCTGTAAAAGCTCGGGAGGATACACACGAAGGTGAAGGCCACAAGTGAACCCTAAATTGGAGGCAATAGCAACTGGCCTTAAAAGGAAGTTATTTGAATTGCAAATGAGGCGAAAATAATAATTTTTCGTATTTGTACAGGCTAAAAATGTGTAATCAATGCGATAGTTAACCTATAAGGAATTAATTAAAATAACTAAAATCAAATAAATGAAGGTAGAGGCAAACTAGAAAACACTGACTGGTTCTGCGATGCCTGATTTATCTTTGCCAAGGCCTTCTCCGGCTCGCCATCCCATCTTTGCCAACAGTTGAGCACCCTTGTTTTCTTCGCCTAGTGGAGTAGTGAGGCTGGCTGGGGGTGGAGGTGGCTTGGGCAAAACAAGATGAATTCCAGGTGGAAGATCTCTTGGTAGCCCAAGACCTGTATCGTTAAAGCCATCATCCACGTTATCATCAGCGGATCTGATAAGAAAATGGTGCAGAAAGGATGAGAAATGTAGACAAAAAAACCTTGCATGTACGGAGAATGGCTAAGCTTGAATGCATCACTTGAGATTGATGGTATTTTTATTTCGTAGTCCACGAGACTAAGTTTTCGTCCGTCATGTGGTGAACATCATCATAGCTGGAACGCATTCCTGAAAAAGCCTCAAATTGATCGTCTTGTTAGCAGTCAAGAAGCTGCCAATGAATCGATAAGTTGGATATCATCATGAATGATATTATAGAGGATGCAGGATTAGGTATATTCCTCAGGGCCTTCATGACACCTCAACGAAGTTGCGAAAACGAGATCAAAGCAACACAATACGATTAAGAAAGACAGTAATAAAACCTACGTCTACACCATCTTGGTCTTCATATATACTATATAACTAAAATAAAGTTTGAATAGAATGGAGGCTAAGTATAACTCAGTAGAATAAAATTTAATAACGGATATAATATCTCGTTTTAGGCTTGTTGCTTTGAGAGTGGTAAGAGTGGTTAGTACAAAAGAATCTGAATAAATATACGATGCAACCCTCAAGCTAAATAAAACTTAAAGAAATTAATATATTTATTTGAGCTGAAAATGCTTCTTTGGCTCAAAAGTTTTACGCCTATCACTAATCACCAAATCCATGAGCATATTATATTGGGTTTTTAAATCTTTACCGACATCCAAACAAAATAAAAATTTCAGCTCTTCCGAAAGAAGAGACAATAATTTGACTCGGTGAGTTATGAAATTTACCGGAGATTTACATGAGTGAGTAGATAAACCATAAGGCCCTTAAAGAATAGGCGAACCGAGTCGAAATAATTTTAAAACACAAAAAAGAAAAAGAAAAGATGCTATTTA